GCTGCAGTGCATGTTTACAATGTTGCCACTGTGTGCCAATGGTGGAGATAATGAATGTTTAAGGTGATGGATGCAGTACCAATCAAGCAGCAACTGTATTCTGGATGATATCAGGTTTCTTGTTGTTGGAGTTGCACTCATCAAGGCAAGTGTAGAGCAAGGCAGTGACCTGTGCCTTGTAAGTGTCGGTCAGGCTTCATAGAGTCAAAAGGTGAGTTTCTCATCCTAGAATTCCAAGCCTCTGTCCTTGTCTTGTAGCCAAAGTATTTATGTAGTCTTTTATGAACGGGCTGGTCCAATTCAGTTTTTGATGAATGGTAACCCCAGCCCGACAACAGTGTCACACAAATATGAACTCGTCACTTGTCTGTCCAATCCTGAACATTGGCTAGTTTTTGCTGCAGGCACACATAGACTCCCACGGTAACTGAAGAACTGCAAATGGTACTGAACACTCTGCAATCAACTGTGAACATCCCACTTTTGATTTCATTGTGCAGGAAAGATAATTGAAGATCAGTCATGCAACTGCAGCATCAATCTTTGGGCTGAGATGATTGGTTATGACTGTTCAAGACTAATTTCCTTTGTGCCCAGAATGACTGCAATCATTGGCAGATAGGACAGTAACTGAGCAATTCTTAACAATGTCAGGGAGATGCCTGTGGTATAAGCTCTATTGCAACAGCTTGACTAAACTTGCAACTAGTTCTAGACCAGGAGTTTTCAGTAATGCTCTGCCACAGAAAGCAGTTGAGAACAAAACATTGAATATTTTTAAGAGTTAAATATAGTTCTTAGGGCTAAAGGGTTCAAAAGGTATATGGAGAAAGCCGGAATATGGTACTAAGTTGGATGGTCAGTCATGAACACACTGAATGGCACAGCACACTCAAAGGGCTTAATGCTACTATGTTCAAAGTGTCTATGTCAATAGAGTCAGATGTTGTAGGGACCCATGCCAGTGCTTTCAGCTGTTTCATGTGGATTCAATCATATTCACTGAAGAATAGCATCTCTGAAGCTGGGGACCTCAAGAGAAGGCAAGGATTGGTCATCCACTTATTACTCATAGCTGATGATGTTTGCAAATGCTTCAGACTGAACTTTTACACTTGTATGTTGGAATCTGCCACTATTGAGGAGGAGGATAGTTTTGGAGCCTCCTCCTCCAATCAGTTGCTAAATGTGCCACCACTATTCACCACTGGACGTGGCAGAACTGCTCAACCTGATTGGATCTGTTCATTTATTATCTCCTAGTTCTGGCGACAACATGCCACTTCTGTTTGCCAGCACGTACGTGCTGCGTCATAGCCTCACCAATCAGCATTTGTTTTTTGCCATTTCTCGCACTACTCCAGGCATAATCTCGTCCACTGCTCTTTTTCATTTCACTGCACTGGCCAAATGAAGTTGTGGTTTCTAAGACCCTGCAGACCTAAAGACAAAACTCTACACTCAATTTAATATGCTCCTTTAGTCACCCTCTCTTCCAATTTGACATCATTGATGTACGTACATGATGGAAATGGTCCAAAGACACCGTTACGTAAATTCATTCAGTCTTGCGGACTGCTTTTAGTTACTGCTTCATTCCCTTCCTTCTGTTTTTATTGTTCTGATTTGCTATCCTTCATCTACATATTTACCCCTTAAACTTGTCATTATACCTTATACCTCTTCAAATGTTCCCTGAAAAGGGCATCATATTGACGGTCTTTGTACATCACCACATTAGACAGCCATTCACACCCTGGTATTACTGGTTCCCAAATCAGTGCAAGCTTTTCCTGAGAAACTAGGAAAAAAAAGAACAGCAGTAAACCACCAAGTCCAACAAGCGCACTCTGCCATTCAACACGATCATGGCCAATCCTCAGTCTCAATGCCTTACTTTCATACTCTCCCATTATCCCTTGACACTTTTTTAGCTCCTGGAAAACTATATATTTCTTTCTTAACTGCATTCAGTGACTTCGCCTCCACAGCCTTCTTTGGTACAGAATTCCACAGGCTCACCACTCTGAAGAAATTTCTCCTCATCTCAATCTGAAATGGCCTACCATATATCCAGAGACTGTGACCCCTTGTGCCAGATTATCCCAGCTAGGGGAAAACATCATCCCCGTTTTCAGTCTGTCCAGCCCTGTCAGAATTTTCTCCTTTTCAAGATTCCCTCTCATTCTTCAAAATTCTGGTGAATACAGGGTTCATCAAACCAGTCTTTCTCCATTCAGCAAATCAGTCTAATGAATCTTTGCTACACTCTATGACAAGTATATATTTTCTTAGCTAAGGGGACCAAAATTGTACAGAGGTTTTGTTCAATTGCACAAAATTACTCTGGGTGTGGACTCTGTATAGCAGCAATAAGACATTCTTGCTCTGTGCAAAGATTAACACAACATTTGCCCTCCTAATTGCTTGCTGCACCTGCATACTTGCTTTTAATGCCTGATATACAAAGACAGCTAGGTCCCCTTTTTTTTAAAACATCAACCATCCTCAATCTATCACCATTTAAATAACTGACTAGCAAGAACTGCAGATGCTGGAGTCAGAGATAACACAGTGTGGAGCTGGAGGAACACAGCAGGCCAGGCAGCATCAGAGGGTCAGAGATAACACAGTGTGGAGCTGGAGGAACACAGAAGAAGGGTCCCGACCTGAAAGCTTGGCCTACTGAGTTCCTCCAGCTCCACACTGTATTATCACCATTTAAATAACTCTGTTTTTCGTACCAACATGGACAAGTTCCCTTACGCACATCATACTGTATCTGCCGGGCAAATGCTTACTGACTCAACTTGATTAGATCACTCTGAAACCTCAGTAGATCATCCTCACTGCTTACACTCCCACCTAGTTTTGAGTTATCAGCAAAGTTAGAAATATCACACTCAATTCCCTCAACCAAATTATTGATATATATTGAGAATAGCTGGAATCCAAACAGTAAACAACCCTGCAGTAACCCACTTGTCACCGCTTTCCTCTTCATTTATTAACACACTGTTTCCTGTCTTCAAAATATTTCTTTATCTATGCCAGAGCCAATCTCTTGCACTTTGATTTTGCACAATAACCTCTTCTTATATGGGACTTTATCAAAAACTTTCTGTAAATCGAAATGCACCATATTCATTGGTTCTCCCTGATTTGTTCTGCTTGTTACACCCTCAAAGCAAAACTCCAGTAAGTTTTTCAACCATGATTTCCCTTTCAGAAATCTATGCTGACATTTGTTATATCACTGTCATTTAAATTTTATCTCATCACATCCTTTATAATACATTCTATTATGTGTTATCTACATATAATTGACTCCAGCATTTTCCTTACTACTGATGTTAGAATAATTGGTCTGTAATTCTCAGTTTTCTCTCATTCTCTTTTTTTGTTTGAAACAGTGGAATTAAAAATTGCCACCCTCCAATCTTCTGGGACTGTTTCAAAGTTGACCACATTTTTGGAAGATGACAACCAACATATCCACTTTTCCCATGGCCATCTTTTTTTTTGGATGCAGATGATCAGGCCCTGGAGATTTATCAGCATTTTGTCCCATTAACTTCTCCAGCACTTTTTAAAACTAATACTACTTTTTTTCAATTCCTCCTTCCCAAAAGAAGTTGTGCATGTATTCTGTGCAGGCAGAATAAAACATGTTCTCCATTACCAATTTTTCTGTTTTAGACTCTAAGAGGCTAACATACATCATTACTAATCTTTTACTTTGTGATGCTTACAGAAGCTTTTTCAGTCTGCTTTTATGTTCCCTGCAAGATAACACTCGTCCTTTATTTTCCTCCTCTTAAATAAACCTCTTGGTCCTCCTTCGCTTAATTCAAACGGCTCCCAGTTGTCAGGTTTTCTACAGTTTTGAGCAAGTGTGTGTGACTTTATTCTGGATTGAATGTTACCCTTTATTTCTTTAGCTAACCACAATTGAGCTACTTTTCCTGTTGTTATTTTATCTGAAAGGAATGTGTAACTGCTACAATGCAATCTTGTGTTACTTAAATAATAAGCATTGTCTGTCATGCCATTCAATGAAGTCACATGGTCTATCACAGCCAACACTCAGCTCAATTTTTTTCCTGCACAAACTCTCACAAAAAAAATTAACTACGCCCTTCTTATTCCACAAACCAAATGTAGGATAGCCTGCCCCCAAGTTAGTTCTTCAACATGCTAGTCTAAAAATCCATCTTGTCCACAGTCCAGGAATTCAGCCACCACACTATTACTGCTAACGTAATTTGCCCTGTCGATACATAGGTTAAAATCACTCATGATTACTGTAGCACACTTGCTGCACGCATCTCTAATTTCCTGTTTAATGACATCCATTACCTCACTGCTGTTTGGAGGACTAAAGATAACTCCCATGTTGTTTCTTAGCTCTGCTCAAACTGATGGCACATCTAGATTAATTGCACTAACATCCTTTCTTACTGGTGCAATGTTCTCACCTTTCAATAAATGCCAACCCTCCTCAAATTACAAAGGCCAGGAGGCCAGAATCTGTGACTCAAATTAGACCAGCTATTGAATATCTCTGGCAACACATCCAATCTCCTTCAAAATAATCCTGGGGGAAAAAAAAACTAGCATCAAAAGGCTACACTTCTAATACATAAATATTTTATCCGTAAATTTTCAACTAATATTGTCAAGATAATCAACCTGAGAAATATGATTAGAGGGTGAGTTTAATTTTGTCCACACTTAATGACCTAAGTTGCAACTTTGAATCTGAACAGGAAGCCACTCTAAAGTTCTCACCTGAAAGAATTTTCACAATGAACACATTTCATGAGGATGTGGCATGGTAATCCTGTAAGAAGCTAACTATGTCAATGAAATGAAATGGAGCCACAACAAAATCAAAAATAGTTGGGTCAATAGCAAACAAAATAACAATTTATTGGCAATTCTTCAATCACTTGGACACAAAATATCAAATCCGTGATAGGAGTTAAAATGCAAGATACCTTCATTGTCGGAAGCTGGGCAAGTCACTTTGAATACCAGATCAAAGGTTCTTTCTGGGCTCTCTCTGTTAAAAGAAAATGAAGGAAATAGTTGAAACCTCTGTTATAGTATGTTCCATCGGTACCTCAAACTATTGACATGAATACTTAAATCTGTAATAAATGTGGAAACTAAATCAAACAATAAAATCTCTTTCAAGGAAACAACAGAAAACTTTTCAAAACTATCCAACACCCCATTCCCATCTTTCACAACCAAAATACCATCTTACAAAAAGGTTTAAACACATTTAGAATTGCACAGTTGACATATATCATCGATATTACAGATTTATAAACAACTGTGTTCAACTGTATTTCGACATAGGAACAAGAGAAAGCCAATTAGACACCCTCACCCAATTCTGTCATTCTGATAATATGCACCTCAGCTCCACTTGTTTATTTTAGACCATTTCCTTCAGTTCTTTACTAAAGTAAAACATTTTCAATCTCAGTCTTGACTCAGCATTCACTACCTTGTAGTGAGAGATAGTTCCAGATTTTAACTACCTTTTCTTTGAGGAAGGCCTTCCATATTTCACTCTTGGTTCTAGTTTAAACATTATCCCCTCTTGTTCTGGATTTTACCCAAAAGTGGAAGTAGATTGTTTTTAATCCATCCTGTCAAATCTATTTATCATTTGAAGTACCTCAGTCTTCTAGGCCCATGAAAGATATGCCATGTTTATGCAACCTACCTACAGAAATGTGACCCTTTAAAGTTGTTTGTACTCTGGCAGATTTGTGCTGCACTCATTAGATTTCTATGAGGAGATCTGACCGAAGCAACATAAAATTGAAGCATCAATTCCTCCTCATCCTTCAAAATCCTCCGCAAAACTGCCGACATTCAGTTAGCCTTTTAGATTTTTTTAAAAACCTTTCCACAGGTTTACATGACTTGTACACAAGGACACCCAAATCTAATAGCTTCTGCAGTTTTTCACTCTTCAGAAAATACTCCTGACTGCTTGTCGTGTATCCTTACTGAACACCAGTTGAATCAATTTTGCCCACTCATTTAAAATATCAAGGTTCCATTGCAACTTAGTGCTCCCATCTGCACTTCTAACCGTGCCTGACAACTTTGTGTCAACTGCGAGCTTCAATATACAACTCTATTCCATTATTTGAGTTATCGGTAAATATGTGAAAATTGGAGTTCATAACACAGCTTTCTGCAGAACACTACTTGTCACATCCTGCCAATTAGAGAATACACTTTTAGCCTTCTCTGCCTACCTACTGTTTACAACTCTTCATGGAGATAATCTGCACATATTGGCACATCTCACTTCTTGTGTTACAAGACCATGAGTCAAAGACACAGCCTGAAAGCTGCTATTCCTGTGTCACAATGAGTGTACGTATACCTGCTCAACTCGACCACCCTACTCAAGTCATTATAGCAGAACGCTACAAACTATCACAGCAGGAAGACTTTTGCACCAAAACAAACAGCTGCTCCCAGGATATCTCTAAACCAGCATGTTGTTAACAAGGAACAAAGCACACTTCCCGCAACATTTAGCAATCTAAGTTAACTCAGTGGAATGCATTTTCCACGTCTACCCTTTAATTACAAATATCTAAAATTTAAAACAATGTAACTGCATTGAGAACTTACAGATAACAAAACTTTAAGTCTATTTCATCAGGAACGAGAAGTAAAACAAACTCTCCCATGACCAAAAATTACTGGACGCAACACAGACGGAGATTCTGAAATTCACAGTTAGATTCAACACTCAGAATCAAAACTAGATTCAAGAAACCCAAGTGGAGAACATCAAACAATCATAATCTGCCCTCAATGTCTTTAGGATATAATTTAATATTCACTCCAGTTGAGGCACAGAGCACAATCTAGAACAAAACACATGTCGTGAGACAGGCAGTCTCTTAAAATTGTTATTATTTAATAATTTTCAATATGGGTGTCAAATGAAGACTAAAAAAAATCTGTGCCCCCACTACTTCACTACATTTCTTTGTTGGCTTCTCAAGTTCAGGAGATGCAGGACATCAGAACCAAGTTGTTATGATCCCAGTTAATGTTACTGCTGCTGAAGTCAGATCCCAGAATGATATCCAGTTTGCTTGATTATGTACAATTTTGGTGTTGATCAACATGGTGGATACTCACTGAAACAAAGGCAGACAAGACTGCAGATTGTATTTAACAATAAAACACAAGTTCATTACAAAAAGAGAAAAAAACATACTAAGCTCCCTGAGTATGAAACATATTTTCTAAGATCTTAAAACATGTACACCTGAACAAAATCTCATCAACTTCCCACTTTAAAGCATTTCAAATCGAAAGAAAATAAAATGCAATATTAAATTTTTAAGTTTAACTACATCTCCCGAGTTCTATCCTACGAGCTGTAAAATTTTCTTACATGAATACTCTTTGAACTTTCAGGTTAGTCTTTCTTGTACTTATAATAATCTGATTTCTAATCAAACCCCAATTTGTCTGGAAACTACACAATCTAAATATTTACATGAACATAACTCAATTTTACTTAAACTACCTTATACTCCTTTCTAGGAGATAAACAATATTTGTTCTGTGACCCCAATCAGGGATCCTTCAAAAATGCCCTAAACATTCTGAATCTCAGGGTTTTCTTCACTAAGAGTCAATGCTTAGAATCATTGTTTCTATATCATGGAAAAGGGCCCTTTGGCCCATGGTCATCAAGCAGCTATCTATTCATTCTCATCCCATTTTCCACCACTTGACCTGTACCCAAGTCTGTATTGGCATCGAGTGCTCATCTAAATAGTTTTTAAACTGTTGAGGACTCCTATATCTACTACCCTTCTAGGCGGTGAGTTCCAGATACTCACCACTCTGTGTAAAAAAAGATTTTTCTTAAATCTCCTCAAACTCTCCTGCTCCTTACCTTAAAGCTGTGCCTGCTAGTTACTGACTCATCTACAAAGGAGAAAGGTTTCTCCACATCTACCATTCTCTACCCCTCAGAGGTCTGTACACCTCAATCACAATGCAAGGCAAGTCTTCTGGCTCCACACACAGATTGCCACTTTGGTCCCAGTTGAGCCCTCCTCTTTCCCTGGTTATTTTCTTGTCCCTAATGTACATTGAAAATTCCTAAACTGAAAGCAAGCTAAATGTCTTCAAAGGTTTAGTTCCTGTCATAAATCAACAGTATAAACCAACAATTTTCCATTAACACTCCAGGCCAGTTTCACCTCAGTTATGCTTGACTTGATCTATTGAATAGACTATTCACTTCTACACATTCAACTTCAAAAAGCAATGATGAGCATGAGAACCAGAAATGCTTCACACTTGTTCTCCAAAAGCAATCATCACCAGAAAGTCAGCTTTCTTCTGATATAAGAAAAGGGTGCAACAAAGTACTTGATAATTTTGATTAAGGACAAAGATGTGGGAAAATGTGAGTCTCCTTACTCCATGTAAAAAGTAATTCTCAAAAATAGAAACATACATTGTGTCCATCAATTTTTTTTAAAGAGTGTTTTGCCTTTTCACCTCATGCCGAGATTTCCCACAATGCAGCAGCGAAAGCTGAACAGCAAAAAAAATGTAAACAGCTAATTGCACCTCTATGAGCTGTGAATAAAGGCATCGCTCAAAATACTGCAGTCAAAGATCGGGGTCGGGGATTGGGTGGTCCTTTTATATCTTGCACGAGTTTGAGGTTTTGCATTGTTACACATTCGTATTTTCCCCTGACAAGGCGGTGGTGAGAGGTCTTCCTGAACATCTCCTGCTCATGTGCTATAGGGACACGCGCAAGCACTGTTAGGAAGGGAGTTACACAGAGAATGGGGAAAAAAAAAGTGAAAAAACTCCAAGTCAGGTTAGGGATCTATCATAAAGGTCAGAAATAGGCTGATGATTACAAAATGTTCATCACCATTCGCGCCTCCTCAAATGGAAGAAGTCCAGTTTCACATGCAACAAGGTCTGGATGAGATTCAGGCTTGGGCTGATGATTGGTAAGTAACATTCACGCCACATAAATGCCCGATAATGACCATGTCCAATAAGAAATGATCTAACCACCATCCCTTGAAATTCAATGATATTACCATCACTGAATCCCCCACAATCAACATCCGTGGGGTTACCATTGACCAGAAACTCAAATGAACTCGCCATGTCAATATAGTGGCTACAAGAGCAGGTCAGAGACTTGGAATGCTGTGGCAAGTAACTCACCTCCTGACTCCCCAAAGCCTGTCCATCATCTACAAAGCACAAGTCAGGAGTGTGATGGAACACTCCCTGATTGCCTGGATGGGTGCAGCTCCAACAACACTCCAGTAGCTTGACACCATCCAGGACAATGCAACCCAATTGTTTGGCATGACAACCAAAGGCATCCACTCCCTCTACCACCAGCGCTCAGTAGCAGCAGTGTGTATTATCTACGAGATGCACTGCAGAAATTCACCAAAGATCCTCAGACAGCATCTTCCAAACCCACAACCACTTCCGTCTAGAAGGACAAGGGCAGCAGATACCACCACCTGCAGGTTGTGCTTCAAGACACTCACCATCCCAATTTGGAAATATATCGCTGTTCCTTCACTGTCGCTGGGGCAAAATCCTTGAATTCCCTCCCTAATGGCATTGTGGGTCAACCTACTGCATGTGGATTGCAGCAGTTCAAGAAGGCATTCCACCACCACCTTCTCATGGGCAACTAGGGACAGGCAATAAGTGCCAGCCAGACAACTAGCAATGCCAACCTCTCACACGTGAATAAAATTAGAGGGTTGGCTTGCAACTTTGAGGAGAATTTGCAGATGTTCCCATGCATCTGCTGCCCTTGTCCATCCAGGGGACAGGGGTTGTGGATTTGGAAGAGGCTGTTGAAGGAGCTTTTATCAGTTTCAGTCACAGACTACTTTAGTTCACAACTTCTTAGATTCTAAACCAAATATAGTTCCCTGATGATTGCACATCATTCTTTCCAACAGCGTATTAGAGAAAAGGTCATTGATGAAGCAGCTGCAG